CAAGGTAAGTAAATTGGTTCCACTGAGCATGAAGAAAATTTTCAGATTTTATTGGGATGCAGAAGAAGATATGGATATACTATATTTCCTTTTTTAATAAAACTACCTTCACTTTGTTTCCCCTTCTCTCCTGGCTCCTTTGCTTCACCAAAACACCAAGGGACGCAAGCCAATTTTCCTACTTTACACTGAATTATAGAAATAACGTGAAAACAAATGCTGAATGAATGGATTTCAAAGTCAGTCATGTTATCAGTAGTGAAGGAGATGCTGACCTTTACCTTGCCATTTGTTGTCATTTCTCAGACAATATTGTAACATTCCCATATATATTTCTGGGTTCACGAATTGCAAAACAAGATTCGCATCTATGTCAGTAGCACTAAGATTTCACCCCTTGCGTTCACCCAGAATTTTCCTGCATGTTGCACTATCATTTTAGTTCCTGTTACCCATACATTTTTTCACCTCGAAGTGTGTAACAGTTTGGAGTGTCCAGTCCAGCAAAAGCTGCATAAATCAAAATCACAACAGAAGTCAAAAAGAAATCTAGTAGAAAAGAAAGTGCTGAATGTACAGAGCAGTTGCTGTCAATATGCAGATCCTTTCAAGCCCAATTAAAATGTCTTAAAACTTTTTTCTTTAGTCTAACACAAAAGGCTGACCACTTAAATTTAAAAATGTTGTCTGCTTGTGCTTAACTTTAAAACTACCAATTATTAAATAGCCACTTATAACCATTTGAAAATGAGTTTCTATTCATGCTGAATGGAGAATCCTCTTTTTTAGCACTCTATCCACACACTTTTTTCTAAGACTATGTAAGATTGAAACTCTTTACTTTAAAAATTTCCTAAGTTTTGTTTAAGCATCCCCTGATATTTGGATCTCAAAGAACCAAACACTACAGAATAACATAAATGTTATGGACATGTTACATTTCCAGGTTAAACACTTCATCTGAGGATTTGCAAAATGTCAAAACAGACTAAGAGTAATGGGCAATAAAATTAGACTGTGCCACAATGTGTATGCAGAAAGGAGAGAAAACAGTTTATTTTGACCTTAATTTTCATATCCCCAACTTCTGAGTACTATTCTGTCACATGCAGGAGAGGCCAAACATATATCTGGTATGGAACTGTGCAGTAAGATCCTCAAATTAAACAATTAAGTAATACAATTAAAAAGCTTTTTTTAATAAAGGTTTAAGAGTAATGAGGCAACAAGGATTCACCGTATGGCAACATTTCATTATGAAACTCAGTTACACAGCAAAACTATCCGTTTTCCCTTGTTGCCTTCCAAGAAAACGCTGTTACTTTCCAAAAGACATTATGCTCAATTAATCCCTAGTGGCATCGAGGGATGCTAGCTGCATGTTCTTCCACCAGGAGCATCCTGTGTACAGCGAAGATGGCAGGCTAATTTACACAGCTACCCTCCAGCAGGGATTTTGCCATTAGACAGGGTCTAACTGCAAACTCTATATTTACCTCTAACCTTCCCTTCCCTCTACACCTTATGTGCTCCAGAGCCATTTGTTTACATGCAAAATCTGATAACAGTGCCAGCTATCCTTGCTCTTTAGTCTTTTCTCTTCCCCTCCAGATTCACTTTTTGCTTTTTTCCCAGCCACCTTTGCAAAATCTGCCAAGAAGGAAGGGTAATTAGCCCTTACTGAGCCCCCATTCCTGGGGCTAGGTTACCAAACTGCCTAACTTAAAACTGACTCCAGTATCTCCTTGCTGCATGCAGTCACTTCTGTCTTCTGCCTGAAATATAGACATAAATTTAGCTCAAGAACGCTACAGAGGGGGAGGCTGTCTTTTCATTACATGCTCGATATCCACTATAATGGAACCTGGCTTCTAGTGCAGGGCCTGAAGGCATATCACAATGCAAATAATAGACAATAATGATAATAAAAAAGAAATTTTCATCACAAGAAACTTGATTAGTCTCCTGCATCCTGGGTAAAAGTGTCTATATTTATATAAAGTTTTATAATTTTTTGTCTGTTTTTAAATACAGTGCCAGTAATTCCCTATTTCCCCTGATTTCCATGCAGATATATTTATGTCTCAGCATTCCAGTGAGTTCCCTTAGCTGATGTTTGAAATGCATCTCTCAAATTACTATATCATCCCAAATTTAAGCTTATGGAATCTCCACAGTAACAATTGCATCTGGGTAACAAATTGTTTGTTAAATGGAAATGGAAATGATCAACTACATGGATTATTTCTTGTGATATTCCTGCAATACAATACTTTCATTCACATGCTGTTAAAGACTTACTGTTACATGCAGCAATGTTTTCGAGATGCCCTACAGCTCCCGAAGGTATCATCACAAGAATTAGAGGTCTCAGCGGTTTCTTGATGGGATAGGGTTTAAAGTAATATTTGTATATTACATTCTTGTTTGAACATTACCCCTAATAGCATATCCAGCTACATCTCTTCATCTCTTTTTTTTTTCTCTCTTCACTCATACAGAGATTAGGAGAGCCTGCAAGATAAGCAATTAACTTGTGGTAGACTGGTAGTTTTGAGGAATAGATGTTTCAGTCACTTGGAGGACTTCTCTGCATCATCAGCATCAGTCCTGTAGCAACTGTAGATGGACAGAAACAGTGAGTTTGGGAGTTAAATTACAGAAACTTTTCTACATGCCACAATGACCAAAATTAATGATATAGGCTTTTATTTTATTATTTTCTTTATTAATTTCATTCAAGTCCCTCTTTGGTTCCTTTTATACAGTAAGGGTAACAGATTATAGTAAAATAAATAAATAAATAAATATAATGATAATTTAAGAAAAATCAATAGAAGAGAGTTATATGCCACAATAACTGTCCGTACACAGATACTCAACAGCATAGCAAGAATATAGATGAGTACCAATTTAATCACTTTCATAGAAGTTTGTATGCAGATCTGCCCTAGCTGAATTATTTTTAAGAATAATTTGATAAGATTTTTGATGTACTGTTTTTGTTTTGTTGTTTTGTGTTTTGTTTTGTTTTGTTTTGTTTTTTAATAGAAAATGATTCTTTAGGAATTGATTCTCCATTCAATAATATTCAGAGTTACTGTTTTTACTATTTTATGTAGGCTGTTCACTTGGAGCTTCCTAAAATTAATTCACCTGCATTTCCTCATTACTTAGGCTACTGCATCTAGACCATTCCTTGTTGTTGGGAAACAAGTGGTGTTTTGTTTCTTGAGGATGTGGCAGAATGTGGCTGAGTCTGGGATGAAATGGTGAAAAAGTACCATCAAAAAAAAAACATTGAGATCATATACATATATATAAGCTATTCATACATATGCTAACGTACCTATTATCAGCTTAGTGGAAAATCAAACATGTTTTTATTCTTACTTTATTAGTATGTAAGTTCTTTCAGGGGCTGATGGAAGACCTATCTTTCCTGAATTTTAGTATTAGGGACAAAACTTATCTGAAACAGGAGGATACTTCGCCTTCTCTGAGCTTTCCAGCCTTAATTCCCACCATCCTCCCAAAGAAAGTCATTTTTTCTTCTTCCACCTCCTCTCCTGTGAACTTGCCCATCTGTTTCTATTTACTACCAGATCCTCCCCTCCCACACTTCCCTTACAGTTGGTGAACTGCACTGCAATCTTCTCCTGCCTCTTCCTCCCCCAGGACTTTGCTCATGGCAGCTCTCTCTCTCCTTTTCTTGAGGACTTGCTTCCCTCAGAGAGGGGGTGTCTTGCCCCAGGCTTGCTGCCCCTGGGGTTCATGTGGCATCCTGCCTTTGGGCTATGAGAGATTCCCAACCCACTGCGGTGGCCAACCTTGAAGCTCTGCTGACTCCTTGTCACTCCCTGCCACCCACAGGCTCGAGTCACAGGATGCAGCACACTACAACATACTGCACATCAAGGAGTCCATGCAGGGGGATGTATGTCAGCAAACAGCTGAGTAATACTGATCTTGCTTTTATGGGAGGACATCCCACTCTAGGGCACACAGCCACAGGTGTGCATGGCACATTTAGAGTCAACAGCTCCTTAATGAGTGCGTTGGCTATAGCTGCTCAGAGCAAGATATTGCTTTCTTAAATGTTTATACAATACCTAGTGCAGAGACTCTGCAAAGCTAAGGTTATTCAGCAATAAAAACATTAGTAACAGATAGTGAATGGGAGACTTTGAAAATAAAAGAAGGAGACAAAATAGAAGCTTGCATTTTTTTTTATTTATTTATTTTTTCCAAAACAATTAGCAGGGGTGTATCAGGAACTTGCATCCTCCCTGTCCTATCATTATATGAGGCTAAGGAAATACTGCCTGAAAGTAAAAGCTGGGCTTTGGAAACTCATGAAAAGAAAATACTTCCCCTCCCCAGCCACAGCATGTAATTAGCCTGTGGCAATAATTGCCCTTGTGTGACACTGAGGCCAAGGGCTCTGTAAGATAGTTATACAGACAGTACAAAATACTTGTAGTTATCTGTTTTGTAAGAGGGATATTAATCCCACACTTCAAGCTTTAGGTCAGTCTCTGTTAAAGAACAGGAGGAGACCTGATATGCTGGTACTTTCAGAGAGATTGAATATTAGACCTGCGAGACCTGTGTATGATCCTGTACAGCATTTTCTAAGGGAAAGAAGAGAAAGAGCACAAGACAGAGCAAGACAACAGAAAATAATAACAGGCATTTTTCCAGTTGTACCATTGATGCTACTCGCTGTCACCAAAGCTTCTGAGGTTCTTCTCTTTCTGAAAGAGAGAAAGGAGGAAACAGAAGGCTAGAGGGTCAAGAGGAAAAGACTGGTAGCGGGGAAAAAAATAGAAGAATAAAAAGAGAATAAATGTACGGGAAAGGAAAAGCATAGAGCTGGTGTTTAGGTAAACACTCTTTTACATTGTTCTAGTTTCATATCTCAGTGAGACTCCAGTTTTGTTTTGTTTTGTTTTGTTTTGTTTTTACTTAAAGACTATGTAATTACCTTTGTTTTACAGAAATGGGTTTTTGAGGATCATATTCTTTGACATGGAAGCTACCTCCATGGTTTACTTATGTGGATATCAAAATAATCGGTAAGTCTGATTTTGTTCCTAGTTCTAAGTACAGTAATATTGATTTATTATTACAATTAATCAATCTTAGAAAAGAATGTCCAATAATTAATAATTTGTGAAGAACATATGTATTATAAACACCACACTTGTGCCAGTTTTAAAAGCAAAATATCAACTTAATAAAAAGACTGTTGGATAAAATATAATTGAATGGTATCTAGTTGATGCATAAAGTAGTAGGGTTAGCAAGAGATTGATGAACTATTTTGGACAGGATACAAAGCCAAACGTTTGTAGAAGGTCTAACAGCTTTGGTTTAGTTTTGCTTTGTCTTTTTCTTCTCATGTCTTTCAAGGATTCTACAGCTCTGTCTTTGCTCTCCCAACCTCTCAAACACACACGCAAAAGAAAAAAAGGAAGAACAACCTGATTTATCCAAAACACTAAGACAAATAATACATTTGAGATGTTACTGACCCTTCTGAGATTGTAACTGAATGTAGTCTTACCTGAAAACCTGAACAACTTCTTGTGAAGTTGATCAGCGTCATTGCATAATGCACATTTGCAGGGGATCTATTCTGAACTACATGTTAGAGATAGTTCTTTCAAATAGTTCTGGACTCTTCTCAGTTCAAATGAACTTGATATATTTCAGAAATTACTATTTTAAAATAAAGGAGCCTGGAAACAGATTGCATCCCCAGAAATCAAAAGTATTGACTAAAAGAACACTATGTCTACCAATCTAAGGACTGCTCCACTGTGAAATTTTTAGTCTGCACTTTCAGTTTAATTGAGAGCTCACCATTGTTCTTATGAACATAGTAGGGACAGCCAGTGAAACCTTAAACATGGAAAATTAAGTCTAAGACAGAAATATCCCATGTACACGGTAATATCATGTTACTTGAGTGTTTCAGAGTTTTTTCTAGATGGTTATTGTGCAAGGCCTGTTGTTCATGCAAGACAGTAATTGCAGCATAAATGAGTAAAGAGTAAATGTATCTTTATTTGGGTTACTCAGCTTTCTATACTACTCTGTGTTTTATGGTTTGTTTTTATTTATTTATTTTTGTATTTTTTCCCTTTATATTAGCCCCTATTCCATGCCCCAGGGCTTCTTACCAGCTCCTCATTAAGGCATGCACCTTCTTGTGGCTCCCTATCAGCCTCCTGCACTGCAGTGATTAACCCATTATAGTACCAAGTACGATTGTTGCAGCATGTATTCAGATTCATAATACTGTCTCATTGCGAGCCACATTTTAAAATGAATTTTGAAAGAAATGAGAGGTGTGGTGAAATACATCAGTTTTCTACCAAAAATAGATCATGCCATACTGCCCAGATAACTTTCTTTCATAAATAATGGTGTGGATTTTTTTCTTAAGAAAGGAAATACAATAGATCTCAAGTCTGTGGGCATCCATAAATCATGTTATAGTGAGTTGCAGGGAGGAGGGGTATTATTTAAACCTGGGAAAAACAGATCAGTTAGAAGAATTGTAAGGAACTGACTGAAAAAGAGTTGACCACAGGGTTGTGCTAGAAAAGGACCTACCAAGATGGACCAAGATTAGTAGTGGAGTCCTACACAGGACTGGTCTTTTTGTATAGTCATATTTTTATTAATAACCATGGTACAGGAAAGAAACCATGCATTAATTAAATATGCTGATTACACAAAGCTAAGAAGAACTAACAAGAGGGAAGGGAAGGGAAGGGAAGGGAAGGGAAGGGAAGGGAAGGGAAGGGAAGGGAAGGGAAGGGAAGGGAAGGGAAGGGAAGGGAAGGGAAGGGAAGGGAAGGGAAGGGAAGGGAAGGGAAGGGAAGGGAAGGGAAGGGAAGGGAAGGGAAGGGAAGGGAAGGGAAGGGAAGGGAAGGGAAGGGAAGGGAAGGGAAGGGAAGGGAAGGGAAGGGAAGGGAAGGGAAGGGAAGGGAAGGGAAGGGAAGGGAAGGGAAGGGAAGCTTGAGGTCTAAGAAAAAAAATGGTGTTTATACATCTAGTTTAAGTGGTTGACTAAAAGAAGAGGTACAATTTATGTACTTAAACAATGTCATAGAGTCATAGAATCATAGAATTATTAAGGTTGGAAAAGCCCTCCAAGATCATCTGGTCCAACCATCTGGTATAACCAATGTCACCCACTAAACCATGTTCCTAAGCACCAGGTCCAACCTTTCTTTAAACACCCCCAGCAACAGTGATGCCACCACCTCTCTGGGCAACCCATCCCAATGCCTGACTGCTCTTCCTGAGAATGTCTCCTAATTTCCAACCTGAACCTCCCCTGGTGCAACTTGAGGTCATTTCCTCTAGTCCTATCACTAGTTATCTGCAAGAAGAAGACAAACCCCAGCTCCCCACACCTTCCTTTCAGGTAGCTGTGGAGAGCAATAAGGTCTCCCCTGAGCCTTCTCTTCTCTAAAGAACTCTAGTTCCCTTAACCACTCCTCACAGAACTTGTGTTCTGGGCCCTTCACCAGCTTCATAGACTTTCTCTGGACACGCTCCAGGGTCTCAATGTTGGTTTTTTTTGTAGTGAGGAGCCCAAAAGTGAACACTTTACTCGAGGTGCAGCCTCACCTGAGTAGAGTACCAGGGGGACAATCACCTCCCTAGTCCTGCTGGCTACATTATTCCTGCTACAAGCCAGGATGCCACTGGCCTTCTTGGCCTCCGAGGCACACTGCCAGCTCATGTTCAGGTGAGCATCTGTCAGCTCCCCCAGATCCTTTTCCTCTGCACAGCTTTCTGTCCACTCTCCCCCAAGCCTGTAGCATGGGTTGTTGTGGCCAAAGTGCATGACCCTGCACTGAGCCATGTTGAACCTCATCCCACTGACCTCTGCCCATCAGTGCAACCTGTCCATGTCCCTCTGCAGGGCCTTGCTACCCTCTGGCAGATCAACACTTCCCCCAGCTTGGAGTCATCAGCAAACTTACTGAAGGTGCATTCAATTCCCAAATCCAAATCATCAATAAAGATATTAAAGAGGATGGGCTCCAACACCGACCCCTGGGAAAAATATAGATTTTTCCATATTTAACACTTCCTGTTAATGAAATATGCCTATGAGATTTAGATGAAACAAAAGTGTGATGAGGGAGAGTTATCTAGCAATATTATTGTGTTGATTTTTTTTTGTTTCTTCGTTTGTTTCATTGAATGTTATTTTTCTAGGCAAAGTACAGGCAACCAATGTACAACTTCAGTCACCAATGTGTGAGAAAATAAAATCAAAGTGGGACAAGCTCAAAGGTGTATTGGGATGAGAAGGAAATGATATCTGATAAGGGAGAGTAGAAGTATTTCACTCTCCCTTAGTATTATTAAGTATTATTCACATAAACAAAACCAAGAGTGAGAGAGAACATAATTGTTGTCTATAAATATACAAGGAGTCAGAACAGCTATTTAAAGGATAATGTTGACATAAGAGTAAATGGTTATAAGATGGCCATGAATAAACTTAAACAGGAAATTAGGAGGAAGTACTAGAACAAAATCCTGGAGCAGCCCTCCAACAGAAGCAGGGGGAGCAAGAAACTTAGCTGGTCCCAATGTGAAACTTGAGCACTTCATGAAACCAATTATGTGATGTGTGGATGACAGCAAAAGCTGGGCCTTGAACTTGATTCAGGAGGTTCTTTTAAATCCTATTTCCTACTTTTCCAGGGGAAGCTGATTTAAATCTTCAGCAAGAGATGTTTTAGATGTTGATAACAATAATTAATACCTTATATTCCAGTAATACCCTAGATCCAAAGACCACAAAGTACATTGAACACATCTGGGAATTAAACATCTAAATATCCACCTGTGTTTTTACTATTATTTTGCAGCTAGGAAATTAGGATGCCCTGAGCAACTTGTTTTAGATCACTTGGAAAAATCTGTAAAAATGAAGAATAGACCTCACGGGTTCTTAAACCCTAGGTTTAAGAATAAACCTATAGTTCTGAAAATTGTCATCATGTTTTCAAGGATTTTTAATTCCAGAAAATGTATGAATTGTGTACAATTGCTTGTACAAAGCTATAAGCCATATGCTGCTTAGCTTAAAATGTCAATGAACGAGTCAGCAACAACAAGAAAATGAAGGTGTTTGTAAATGTTGCATTTAAAAAGCATTTAGAAAAATGAGAGTGGTCCTCCAAAGATGTATGCATCTTCAAACTCAGAACAATGCAGTATTTCACAGTCATTAAGTAACGTGTCACATAGCTACAAACAAGAATCATATAGCTTGAAAAAATGTTGATTTCCTCTTGGGGAGTTGGAGCTGCACCACTTCTTTGTGTGTTTATTCCCTCTCTGACTTCCACTGGGAAAGGTGCCAGAGGTGGCAAGGAACAGAGAGCAGCTGATCTGGCTCTGCTCCCTGCCCTGAAACCCTTTCCTCTCAGACCTGCAGAACCCTAGCCATACTTAGCTGGTATGCAGACAGCCATCCAACATACAGAGGAGACTGAACATGCTGTTTTGGATCTTTTCTGAGGACTTAAAGCCCTCTGCCTTGCCCCCAATCTTCCATCCCCATCCAGGAGCGTGAGTAAGTCCCTAAGTCCCTCTGGTTTCATACGTGCCATAGGGCTGCTTGCATTATTCCAATCCCTAATAACAAAGCACTGTATAGAATCTAGAATCATGGACTGGTTGGGGTTGGAAAAGACCTTTAAAGACCATCTACTACAACCCCCTGGATGGGCCAGGATGTCTTTCACTAGAGCAGGTTGCTCAAGCCCTATCCAACTTAATGGTTGATACAGAGATTCATTCAAAGGAAGAGATGATTTGTGCAGTTCCTACATAACAACACCCTCCAGCTGTTTTCAGTGCTGTGTCAGACGTTGGGTATGTTCCCTCAACAGAACAGAAAGGCCACTGGCTTCCGTTCCTTCAAGTTCCTCCCCCTTTCCTCCCTCTACCAAGATACTTACAAACCCTGAGCAAAGTGAGCCAGCTGGGCTCCCGTGCCTGTCTAGAGCCATACCCCAAAAGGACAGGCTGT